TTCTATACAATCTTAATTTGCCGCTATTGATAGATAAATTGTGGAGGAAGGTTTGAATATACATGTCTGTTAGTCTTTTTCTCAACGATACACATACAAATCTATTGTTTACATGTAGATTAATATTTTGCCAAATGAACGAGTTACCGCTATTGTCAAGTATCTCTTTCACGTGGCATAACCAGTTTTTCTTGTTGACGTTTAACATATCATGTTGTTGCGACAATAGAGCATCCACTTGTAGAGGATGTGTGCAGAAATCTAGTTGTCTTAGCCGTAACCAGTACTTTACAACCCTGACTGAAACATCTATATCTAGGGGAAATCTGCCGAGTTCAGCTTTACATGTACATGCAATGTTGATGGCATTTCTGTGAATACCGAGAATGTTTTTACAGAAACGGTTATGTATGACTTCAATTGGACTACTATCGATTAAGTGTTCTTTGCCCCAGATTTCACAGCCATATAACATAATAGGTTTGACACATGAATCAAATATTCTTAAAAGAGCCTTTAGAGAAATCGGTGAGTGGATGAGGGATTTTCTAGCAAAAATGGCTTTGCGTGATTTAAGGGACAACTCTTTTTTAGCCAAAGAAAAGCTGCCAGACGCAGATAACAACACACCCAGGTAACAGTATGAAGTAACGGCCTCTGCTTTCTCTGGACCAAACATAAATTTTACATTTTTAAATGCTCGTCCATTTCTGTTAAAAACTACGACCTTTGTCTTTTTTAGATTTACCTGCAGTTTCCAGTGTGAACAAAATATGTTAAGTTTATTTAGCGCAAACTGCAATCCTTTTTCGGTTTCGGAGAAAATAACTACATCGTCTGCATAAAGTAAGCTAGATATGAATAAATTGTGAATAGTGGGTGGAGAACATTCTGGGTTGTCTAGTTCCTTAACTAAGTCATTTATAAACAGATTAAAAAGTGTCGGGCTGAGATTGCAACCTTGCTTAACACCCTTGTTGGTTATAAAAGATGGCGTGAGACCTGACGGGGTTTTTATGCAAGTCTGGGGGTTGGCGTACATGGACTTTATAAGGCTATAGAATTTTCCTCCGATTCCTGAGCTAAGTAATTTATACATTAGACCTTCGCGCCACACGGAATCAACCGCCTTTTGGAAGTCAACAAAACACGCATATAATCTTTTGTTAGTATTTACATATTTGGATATTAGTGAGTCAATTAAAAATATATTATCGTTTGTTCCAAAGTTTTTTCTAAATCCTGCTTGATTTGGGGAGATGAGTGCATGTTCTTCTAGAAAGTTAGTAAGACGGTTGTTAAGGATTGATGTAAATAACTTTGCTAGACAACTCATTACAGAGATATCCCTATAGTTGTTGGGGTTGTCTTTAGCGCCGCCTTTGTGCAGAGTGACAATATGGCTCGTGCACCATTGTTCAGGGAAGTAGCCGGAAGATAAGAAAAGGTTGAATAATTTAGTTAGAGGTTTTGTCAGGATGTGCGCAGCACTTTTTAACATTTCGTTGAGTATCATATCGCTGCTCGAGGCTTTGCCATTTTTCAGTTGGGAAATTGCTTGTCTGACTTCGGTTTGCTGTATTGTTATATCTAGGGGATTGCAGGTGGACAAATCATTTTCTAGTTCAATCAATTTTTCCTTAATCTGCATGTGAAAATTGCTGTTCATTTCGGATTCACCTGAGTTTGCCTCTCTGCCGTACAAGTTTTTAAAATGACTGTGGGTGGTTTCACTGTCAATAATTTCTTCTGTTGTTATTTTGTCTGATTTCAATTGTTTAAGCTGGTTCCAAAACACCGAAGGGTTATTAACAGAGAATGAATTTATTTTTTGAAGGATGTTATTTTTGTGATCTCGTTTCGTTTTTCGGAATAGTCTAGTGTATTCTTTTTTTCGTTTTGAAATATTGACCCCTGATAAAAGGGTCTCGTGGGTTTTTTGAAAGTAGCTTGCCGAGATTATTTAGATTTCGTCTCGCAGCTGCGCAATTCTCTGTAAACCACTTTCTTATTCTGTTTACTACCTGACGATCGTCTCTTTTTGGTGATCCGTAACGTTAAGGATTTTCTACCGGCTTCTTGTAAAGGAAGAACGAGAAAAGTAACGAAGCTACTGCCGTCATCGTGGGTGACCTTGCAGGTCAGAATTCTTGTTTACGCTGTTATTTAATCCAGGTCCCCATATCCAAGTGTCATAGCACGCGTGCAAACATGGTATTTTAACCACTCCCAAAAATCGTTTAAATTATCTCATTGAGGTCTTGTTTGGAAGAGCAACGATTTCCGCAGATTTCTGTCTTAGGGATTTTTTAAATATGGCCGCGATTATGAATTATCGGTATTTAAAGTTGAAAAACTGCGTTTTTAGCTCTTTTTTTGGCTGTAATTCGAGTTTTAGTTAAAGATTTAAAAAAACCCTAAGACAGAAAGTTTACCTTTACTGTAATATTTCTAAAAATCAAAAAATCAAACCTTAATTTTGATATTCGGGCCCCCTTAAAATCAGTTGTTTGGTTCTCGTGAGCCGTTTTTGAAATCCAAAATTTATCTCATTTGGAAGCAAATGTACACAAAGTTGAGCAAAGACAGTGGAAGAATAACATTTGAGGTTAACAAAATTACTTGTTACATTTTATTTTGACGAGTGTTTACTCTCCAATTACTTTTGTTTATTTTCAAATTTTACCCGTTGCCCCCGGGCCGGCCCGGGACTCCCGCGCGGCCACGTTCGAACGCGTTCTGTAACCCGATACCTCCCTAGTAATGCGACTTTTAGCCTAGCAACCGACCGCCGTGACTGATCTCATCGAGACAAACAGACGCTTTGTGAGGAGATTATTTAATGCAAGAAGCGGCGAAACTTGACTACACAGCCAAAGTACATAGAGTAAAATCCCGTTTCGTTGCGGTCGTCAAAACGATATCGATTAAAAGTAGCGAATGCTTTTCGGACTATTTTGAAGAAATTAATTTTTGCCGTGCAATGCACCCTTTCCAGCCCCTGCTTTTTTTTTTTCTTGTATAAAATTGTACGTGCGTCGGCAAAGGTCCGACCTCGCAACTCGTTCGAACTTGTCGGCGTGGATGTCGACGCATTAACCCTACCTAGACCGGGGGGGGGGGGGCTAAAAGTGCCCGCGGCAACTTTGATGTCACCTAGCGTCTGAACGACTAGCCGTAGAACGGCCAAACTTGGTGACTTTTCCTAGAATATTGTTGGCAACAAATCTCTATCATTGGAATAAGATAATAATTTTTTGTGTTGCCATGGCAACGGGTTTCTGACAGCCATTTTTTGCTAAATTTAGTACTTTTTGTTTCAACAATAGAATTTTATGGGTTTTTATGTCAAGTTACTCATGGTTTCTAATATTAATAAAATCCCATATAATTTTATGTAAATTTTATCATTAAATATGCATAATTTATGCTAATTTGATGACGTCATTGGCCAAAATCCAAGATGGCGGACCATATCATTAGAACAGGTATATACAGGTTATTTTCATTAAAATTTCATCAATACTTCCATTTCTTTTTCCAAAAAAGGTTTACATGAAGGTCTTTAGTATGTTTACAATGTATTTTAGGCTTTATCATGAACAAAAACTATTTTTGAAAATTCAAGATTGATGATCCAAGATGGCGGATATCTTAAATATGCATGACGTCATTTTATGACGTCACCGGTGTTGCTATGGGCAACATAAGACTTAGTACACCATAATATTATGTCATAAACACTTTTGGTACAGTTATGTTGAATACCATTTAGTTTTTAGGGAAAAACCTATTTAGACGGTTTTGGCCAATAAATCACATTAATGACGTCATAATGACGTCATATTACGTCATAACGACATAAAATTGTAGATATGATAAATTTTAACTAGTACACCATTCTCTAAAAATTTGGTGGTCATACGACATACCGTTCGCGAGTTCTTAGGGGGGGTCAAAAGAGCCCCCCCCCGGTCCCCCCATGTCAAAAAAAGCCCGGTCTAGGTAGGGTTAAATTTGGGGCATGTATTTTTATTAAACCATACCAAGGACTATCCCAACATTCATTTGACTCTCTAAATGTTCTTCCAACGTTTATGTAAATCAACACGTAACTTGGCAAGATTGTTTCCATGGTTACATTTTTTTTCCATGGTTGTGATAAATATTACGCGGAAGAAGTTAGTGGACGAAAGATAGGCTAGAAAGAGGAATATTTTCAATACCCTGAGTTAAATAGCTCCATGTACACTACTAGGTGCATAAATGTGAAAATTAGGTGAATTTTCTGCAAAATTCTGAGAAAATGTGACAAAACGTGATGTAATGTGAATTTTTTTGAGGTTCAACAGCATCACATTTTATCACATAAGTTCACAGAAAATCACATAAGGGTGATGGGCCCTGATGTATATGGCTTCCTTAACCCCTCTCAAGAAATAGTATTGTTCAGTGGGCCGGGGGCCGACATCGTCTACCAGACACCTTTGACCTAGTGTTGACGTCACATTTTAAAGAAGCCACGTGACAAGCCCCACTGGGTCAGTCTACTGAGGAGGACCAGAGTGACTGGTCGAAAGCCATAGGTTAGAGAACTTTCTGTGTTGGACCAGAAGTTTTAACTCTAAACATGTAACTACCAGCACAGATAAACTTCCGTGATAGTCTTTGAACTGTTGTTTTTTCATCGACGGCCTACCTTTGGCCGCTGCTATAAGAAGGGGAGAGTTAGATTTCCCAATGGATCTCTTCGTTAAAGACGCCCCCTTGCGGATCAGCAGCCTCACTACGTCGGCATGTCCCACGAAGGAAGCGATGTACAGAGCTGTTGCGTCGGTGATCCCGTGGCCGTCATGGGCGCCTGCGTAGTCAATGTCTGCACCTGCGTTTGGTCATTACAGTTAGTTCAATCTCCAAGATCCCTTTCGGTGGCAAAAAGACAGTATCAAATTGGTCAGGCAGTACCCATTAGCCATAAAAGGTCGCCAGCGACCGACGGGTGGGGGTTAGAGACAAAAAAGGCTATATATATATATATATAAAGGTAACGATCATTCCCCCACAACCTCTGCTTGGAGAGTACAGTTAGTTGAGGTCAAACACAAGACAGTCAGCTCACAGGACGTCCTCTCGGATGGGACGTAAAGCTGGAGGCCCCGTGTTTGAGTAGTATCTACCAGCCTCCTTTGCAGGCTGAAATAGGCTAGCCTCCAGCGGGCCTTTGTACGGAAATACGGATCGCAAAAAAATAGAGTAAAATTGGCCAAGGAAGTCCGGTCGCGAGGAGGTAGTCCCCCCCCCCCCCCGATGAAATCTGCTTGGAGTTTGATAGTAAGAGATTTAAAGAGAAGCTAGAAATGACTACTAGTACTGCATTGTACTAGTAATTGTAAAACTGACAGTTTCAATGAAAGGCAACAAAGAAGTTAAGGTGCAGGTCGCCTACTTGTCCTACCTCCAAATGCTTTTGCCTCGTTACAGGTTTGGTGTTCATTAGTAATTGGTATCAAGCTGTGTTTTCTATACAGTTATGAAAGAATTACAGTGTAGTTGTTATATTGTAGTGCTGTATACATTGTAGTCAATAAGTAAACATAGTGTATTTGTTATGTTGTAGTGTTGTATATATTATAGTTATTAAGTGATGATGGTGGAATTGGTATGTTGTATTTATCATGATGTAGTTTTAATGAACAGGGCTCCATGATCCAGGAAGAGTAGTTAGAAATTATTTTCTTTTATTAATTGAGTTCCTAATAAACAACACAAACGTGCTTATCCTACAACGTACACTGCTTTTACCCAACATATGTGTTATCTCTTTATCCAATTTCCACGTACATGCACCAACCTGTCATTTTAGATTTAATTCTATAGCCTTTGTGTAACAAGTACTCAGGTTGTCTTGTTCCCTTGTTATATGTCATATTGTTGTCTTGTCTTTTTAACAATCTAAATAGTTACACATAATTCAGCCATGGCTGCCTGGTGGCAACAGTTGTTTAGCAATCTTACAACCATTTTAATCGACCCTGTAGATTGTTGCACTGCAGCACTATGATAAGGATATTGATACATTGTTGCATTAGAGTTGGCATGCTTATCATGATCAAGGTTAATATATACGTGTAGCAGTGGTCTCATCTATGTAAACATGCACTATATAGAGTTCTTTGGTGCAAGTTCATGCCCGAGGGCCAATTTCAAACACACATTGACGACAACAATGAGTACAGAATGTAGTGATATAAAACTGTCTGCTAACATGAAGTCCTTATACGATATACTTATTTACCCTACTACTAGTATCTCTACTCAGATCTAATAACGCTGGTATATACGATAAACAAAACAGTGCCTCTTGTAGAACAGCAGTTCTATGCCATTTCTAGAATGTGTTGTTGTAAGTTTCTAATACTGAAACAAAGTACAGTAGGGGCATCATCACTAGACTGTTAGCTTGAAACAATGTTTAGAGTTAGATAGGTGTAACGAGCCATTCGGTGTAGCTGCCACCACGCCGCGTGCCTGCGAAGTTGTGTGTTATACACCGAGGGGCGGTAATACCGGCCGTACAGATACACATACCAGAATGGACACTGCACTCAGATACTGTAAGATCTGCAACTTACTCAAATAAAAAAAATATGAAATCTTAATCTAGCAGATAACCGTTTATATCATATCGTTCTTAGCTTTAGAAACAGGAGCTATCTTAATATACAATATTATACACATCAACTTGATGTAGAAACTGTAAGTACATGCATAAGGTGTCTATATCCTTGCTATATACCTGATAGCTCTGCAAAGAGAAGCACTATCCTTAATACGCGTGGACTACTTGCATGCACAGTCTCTAATCTATTCTTACATGGCTCCGTGGCATCTTACCTTAAACTAGTGGACAAGAAAACATCAAATTATGCAAATTAAGATTCTGTAATAAAAGTGGACCAAACATCTACAGAAAGATCCGACAGCCTGGAAAGTCCCATTAGAAGACAAAACTCTTGGATAAAATACAAAAATAAATGTCTACGTAAGATTCTAAAAAAAAAAATTAAAATTGAAATTAATACAATGGTCTATGCTATATCTGATTTGAATAGCACGTTTTTCAATGTTTAACGCGAAAATACTTTGAAACTGACATTCACTACATAATTAACCATGACTAGCATTAAACACTGATTAATAAACTTCAATGGTACTAGCTTACAACGAGAAAATGTAACCAGCCGATCAATATGTACAGCACAATATTCAAACTCTGGATAAAGATTCCTTTTCTATTGTTAATAAATGCCTTCACAAAACAGTAATGCATCCTGTAGATAGAACTGACTTCTGTAAAAATAAGCCATTAGAAATAATGCACACTTTCTTCTGTTGTTGGAGGCATTTCTTCTTCAGCATCACCGGAGATGTCCTCACTTGTAGCCGGGGTTTCACTTTTCTGCACATTCGCTGGATCTGGCAGCTCGGAGTCGGTGGAACTGTCGTTGGTATCCATAATTACTGCACCCGGTGGGCTGGAGGATTCCACTTGTAATTGGTCGTGGTCTTCACTTTCCGAGAGGGTGTCTTGCTGTGTGGCCTTGCACTTCTCAACTGCTGTATGGATATCATTGTCAGTGTCGACATCGTTCTCTATTGGCGCGGAACTGGCTTCTGCATTTGTGGACGCGAGTGAGTCGACTTCATCACGATCTTCGCTGTTGTAGACGTCTGCAGTGACGCGGAGTTGCATCCCCATCGGGCCCGACTTTGGGACGTCGTACGAGGTTTCAAGAGCTTCTGCTGCTTCATTCTGACCCCCCACCGGGGAGCCGGAACTGGGTTTTACGTAATCCTTGGCCATCAATTCTACCACAGCGTCCAGCTCATCGTAAAGCTCCTCAAACTCCGGGCGATCATCTTCCTCCCATTGCCAGCACCGCAGCATCATGTCGTACCTATTGGTTATTTATATGTGTAAGTCATCCGTGATTGGCAATGTTACAATATTGTAACTGGAGTAGACCATAGGCAAAAGGTTGATGTCACCACGCACCATTTTTCATGTAAAAGTCAGAGTAACTATCTATCATCACTGAGTATACTACTAAAATCTATTCAACCTGTAGTTTCTGAACACGAGCTTTATGTTTCACCAACGTTAGTTTTTGGTTGTTTTTTTTTTACAACACATTATTGCCACCGTTATTTTTGTTGATTTTACACTTATTTGTGAGGAGGGCCTCTAGAAACCACCATGCTGCATTTGAATGATTCTCAAGAAGCAAATTTGAATGAAATAAAAATGAAAAAATAGTCTCTTTCACGTACAGTTCTTGTTTAAGGCCAGGCGGGCGTGGTTCGCGGTACCCTGTGCGGAGTTCCTCCAGGAGCGTGCGTTCCCGACCCGGATAGGGCACGTTCCCGAGCGTAGCGATCTCGTACAGGACCACACCGAAGGACCAACTGGGCGTGAGAATTAGATTTGATCATTAATTATGCAAAAAAGACGTACCATATCATGATTTGCCTGTAATTACAGAGAAAATCAAAACACGCAAAATGAAGCTAGCTGCACACTGCATCAGACATCCTCACATTGTTTCTTTCTTTTGTGAGCCTACAAAAGGCCAAAGAAGCCGGCGGAGACTAATATAACAAAATCGACAACCCCAGATTAGACACCAGCTTGCGCATGCTTTCAAGTTTGTTTTTTCCAGACTATAGTTAGTATACGAACCTAAATCTAGGACAAAACCAAAGCAATAACTACTCACACGTCACTCTTGCTTGTGTACCGGCCCTCTCGCATTAGCCTTTCCGGCGCCATCCACCTCAGGGGGATCTTCTGCTCCGGATCCTGACGCTGGTAGCCTCGCTCGTAGATGTCTGTTGTCAGGCCGAAGTCTGCGATCTTCACCACCAGGTCCTCTCCTACCAGCACGTTCCGGGCGGCCAGATCACCGTGCACGTAACCAGCCTGGAAAATGTAGGTCTGTTTGGAGAGAGAAAGACAGAAAACATCCAATTCAAAAAGTGAATGTTTGAAATGGATGTACATGGTCATGAACGTGGTCAACAAACAAATAAAAATGGAAGTTCATCTATGATACTTTCATGTTTAAAGTTAAAACTTGATCCAATTGCAACACAAAGAAATTATCTCAACTAGAGCTTTCGACCAGTCACGCTGGTCTTCCTCAGTAAACATGCAAACGCCATCGCACAACAATTGTGCAAGGTAATTGGCATCTACTGCTAACAAACAATGAGACTAATCTTGCCTATAAAGTGTGTAGTATGGGATGAGAATGTGCTTTTGCAGTTCATGATAGAATTCAGAGCATTTAGGCGTATGATATAAGCTCATTCTCTTTACAAGGCTGTCTGCTTACCATTCCGTTTGCTACCTGCCGTGCTACCTGGTAGATCTTCATGTCGTCGAAGTCATACATGCTGTCTTGGAGCCTCTCATTCAACTGTAGATTTACATGAAAAGAGTCAGCATGAACATAAGTTGGCTTCATCATAAAGTATTATAATGGCTGACATACCACAAACACCAAAGGGACATTTAATTTTCAGACACTAACTTTGGTAACTGCGAAATCGGAAATAATTGCTTGAGGGCTGTATAGCAAGCAAAACAATGAAATACGGTAAGTACAATGGGCCAACAGTTTTTAGATCTATCGAGCTATATGTATAAATGTTGAATTGGGTGGCTGATAACACCAAATTTGGCAGATAACTTTACAAGTAGTTTTTGAAACTTCAGTTGCTCATCATTATAATTATCCATTGAACAAAATAGAAACAGCAGCTTTCTGATAGTATAACCATTACTGACAGAATAAGAACAAATTCAAAGATATCTACTTTAACCCTAAACAGTACACCTGGGGTCCGCGCGGACCCCAGCACTATATATTCTGTAATATCTTTTTGGTTTCTAAAGATTTTTTTCTGAAATTTTAGGTAATTGTCACCCACAAAGTTGTCTCTCAATACAGTGCAGAAAACTCCGTTTCTACCATTTAAAAAAAAAATTATATCTGATTTTCTTTTGGGGTCCGCGCGGACCCCAGCCGGCTTTCGATCATAATGGATACACTGGCGTTCTTATACATTACCTTTTTATATGTTTTTATGCACTCATCGTATGTCTACCAAGTTTTCAGAGAATGGTGTAGTAATAGAATTAAATTTTAATAACTTTGGTGTAATTATGACGTCATATGACGTGAGAGCTAATAATATAGTCCGCCATATTGGATTTTGACCAATGACGTCATCAAATTAGCATATTCTATGCATATTAAATGATTTAACTCATATTTAATTATGTAAGATGTTATTAATGATGGAAAAGAAGTGTAATTTAATATAAAACTCAGAAAATTTTTATGTTTAAACCAAAATTACTTCTATTTTCAAAAAAACTGCCTGCTAGAAACCCGTTGCCATGGCAACACAAAAAAACATCAACTTACTAGTATTAAACTAATATGAACTTTTTTCCAGAGACATTTTAGGAATGGTCTCCAAATTTGATACTTCTAGCGCAAGCCGTTTAGCCGCTATCTGAGATCAAAGTTGGGCCTCAAAAGCCCCTTTCACACGCCTGAATAGAACGCTTGAAATTCGAACATTAAGTTCGCGCAGGCGCACTACACAACGCCCAGTGCCGTTCTGAGCCCCGGGGCGCCCCGACAGTAGCAGGTAAAGGACATTTACGCCGTTATTGCAATATCAGGCCAGCTCCATTGCATCATCCAAGCTTGTCTGGTGCATGGTCCTGGTTGAAAAGGACCGAAATAATATGGTGTTACTTGACAATAAAGCATATAAATTCGTTAATCCAGGTCATGGAAAAATCCACCCTCTTTTAAGAATCTACACCAAAAAAATACCATACCCTCCTAACGTAGCGTATTTAAGGACGTATGCGCGTATATAAGGATAAATCCCTGTGTAACAGTTTCCGAGCACCTGTGTCCGTAAAATATCTTTTGCAACGCTCGTAATTTTGTTGCAACGCTGTCCAAATACGCAACGGTAAGCGTGATACCATGTTTTCAGAATCGAACATCACCTTTCGCACATGCAGCGTGGCACACGGCAATTTGTTTTCCACCAAACGCAGCCATGGAAGGACCTGAAACGTGCAATAACTACAGGACGAACTGATAAACTGTGAATTGTGTGGGTCATCAGGTAGTTTTACGCTCAGCTGATGTAGAGAGGTCATGCGGTCAAGGGTTAAAGGTGCAGTTACCAGGCGACGCGGCCGAATGAATTCAGTTCTTTGCCTTAGTTATTAATCAATAAAACATTTCCTCAGAACTTTCATGTCAGATTACATTCATTATCTATTTGTCTACATGGATAATTGTAAAATACATGGTTGTATGTGAGTACTGGGCCACGGAGAAGGGAAAACCCCAGCGGTTATTTGATTGACCCCGTAACTCTCCCAACTGCCCTTTCGCGGGGCGGCAAATTCAGAAACCCGGAAGTCCGGTCCCGAGCTGAGACATGGAGCGACTCTGCTTTATGCGGGGAAGGACACGGTTATCAGGGGGGTGTCGACATGATAAAGTGATAGAAATCGACGTGCCGACATGCAAGAGGCTTGGTCTGCCCTGCGGCAGCCGGTTATGCCGACTGCATTACGATGAGGCGAAGCGCACCCCCCAGTGTTGCTGCCCTATACCACCCACGGGCAGCCATTCCGGTACACTTATCCCATGTCCTGCACGACTGCTGCGAGTTTTCCGGGACATGGCTGATGTAACTAACGGTACATCAATTTGTACGGCGTGCAGCAACACTGTAGATGCCACAAGAACCTTCTGCGACCACCCAGAGTATGCCCCTCCCCAAAGGAGAAGAAGGGTAAGCTATGTAAAACATAATGTAAACAGCTCATTCATTCAAACAGATAGGAAACACTTGTGTGTCTATGTGCTTTTTTTTATTTCTTGTCTTCATATCCATCTCAATCAATGACAATGATTATTTATACCAGAACAACTTTATACCTTGGTTCTTCTCATCTTTGACACCTTGTTTATAAATGTTAAATTAAACAACAACTGAATATCACCTTCTATAATCCTTGCAAAAACTTTCAAGTGAGCTCTATGAATTCAAGTAGGAACTCTTAAACTTAACACCTCAGTCCATAGAAAATTTGATCCATTCCATGATGTTGAACCTTAATAAAGGTGGTATGCTTTGTTACATTTAATATGAATAAACTACCCATAAACATAACATGTATTGCTCAGAATGTAGACAAAAACAGTATGATGGCTGTCATTGGCTGATCATAGCAATCTAGTCCAGGAAACTTCTTCCACACCTTTCCTTTGAGTAGATGCAAAAGGCACTTGTAGATCTGGTTTTGTGGGCTGCAGGATTCCTGATAGCAACAGAAAATATCATTATGGTCATTATTATTTCCAGGTCAAAGAAATGTCTCCAAGATTAGCCTACATGCCTGAGGCAGCTCACCTGACAAGGGCTACCCTCCCCTCTCCAGCCTTCACCCTCCCCTCTCCAGCTCCCATCCTCCCCTCCCCAGGTTCCGAGCTCCCCTCTCCAGCTCCCATCCTCCCCTCTCCAGCTCCCATCCTCCCTCCCAAGCTTCCACTCTCCCCTGTCCAGCTTCCACTCTCCCCTGTCCAGCTCCCATTCTCCCCTGCCCAGCTCCCATTCTCCCCCCTGCTGTGCAACAAGTCATACGTACCTTGACAAGTGCAGGGCTGGCCATACAAGCGTGGGAGAATGAGCTTCTGTTGCCTCTCATAAGGAGACAATTAGCTGCCTCCTGTGATGGCCAAACAGTATCCTGCAAAACAGGGGGACATGTTAGTGCTCTCAGTCTCATCAACAAAAGGAGATATCAATAACCTTATGTTAGCTATAGTCTGGTATGACATGAAACATACTATAAAAAATAGTATAGAAAATTTCAAGAAATGTTAATATTCCTAGCCTCAAGTATACCACAGTATCAGCAATTGAAAACTGCATCATACACAGTACAGTATACCACAGTATCACATAAAACTGCATCATACACAGTACAGTATACCACAGTATCAGCAATTAAAACTGCATCATACACAGTACAGTATACCATAGTATCAGCAATTAAAACTGCATCATACACAGTACAGTATACCACAGTATCAGCAATTAAAACTGCATCATACACAGTACAGTATACCACAGTATCAGCAATTAAAACTGCATCATACACAGTACAGTATTCCGGGCTGGGCCGTAAATGCTGCCGCTCCACAAGTCTGCGAAGGAGGCCATACACAATCAACTACTCTCATCTTGCTTACGTTTCAATGTATATCAGACACCTTCAGCTTTTTCGGCGAGAACACGGTCCCAAAACATGGCTATAGATGTACCCCCATCCCCTCGTCCAGGTTCATCACTGGGGTTGACTTCCTTATCCAGACCACTTCTTTGATCCAACGTAATTCTTGTCTTCTCTGATGAGCCGTGACGAGGGGGGTACGAAACCGTTCTCGCTGCAAAAGACGCCACCTACATTGGCTACATAGGCGAGAACTAGAACACCAGTCAGAAGACCAGAAGCTCTGAGGAAGGTGGTCTGATAGACATCAAAATGTAAGCAAGGTGAGACAAGTTTGGTTGTGTATAAGAAAATCCCAATATCAGACATCGACCTTGTTTTATGTACAGGAACAAGCCATCGAAGACTTGACGTCTGCTGCAAAGCAGGCGGCAGAGGAAATTGTGACCCAGTTTGAGGCTTTTCCGCTTGACCTGGTTACAAGGTCT